GACAGACAGTCCTTTTGATAAATTGTTAGCCACTTTCGGAATTAGCTATCTCCCACCGAGGATATTAACTATGCAATACAAATAAAAAACAAAAACAGGTAAAGCGAAAGAAAAATAGTAATTTTAAGAAGTCAATGCAAACCTTTAGGACTGGAAAGCTCCTTCAATCATCTTTTCCATGCAAATTAAATGGGCTAAAAAAAAAGGCAAATGGCATGTATTGCACGTCCATGTGCCCATCGCTACTTTTCTTCTCTTTTTTTTTTTCCTTAAAAGTAACATAACCATTTGATCTCTTCAAAAGTTCACTTCATAAATGTCATAGTTATTATACTTTTCTTAGTTGAAATTCATTTAAGGCCGCCATGGAAATTAAAAAGGTAAAACTTGTTAGCTAGAGAGAGTTGCATATTTTCTTCTTGTTTTGAGATTTCTTAGTTACAAAGAATCTAAAATCATTTCTAATATCAAATAAAAAATTATATAGTTATAAAATATAAAAGCAATTCATATTGGATAGGTTCACATGTTGTCTGTTATTGGCTCTGTTAGTTCATAGTTTTGCTTAAAGTTCTTGTGATGAAAAGTTGATTTCCTCCTCTCTACTATCCTTGATTAAGTTGTATCATATAAGATACAAGAATTTTGCATGTAATGGGCTGAAGTATACCCTATACTCATTATTAATATATTGTATACTGTTCTTTTCCAATTTAAAAAAAAAAAAAGCCTAGTATTATTGTTGAAGTATGTTTCCTTGTGAGTGTGAGGAAACTAAAGATCCAACATCGAAAAGATATAGAAAGAAATAGTAGTTTATATATGTGAAGACTCATGAGACTAATAAATTAGTTTTTTGGTTTCAATGTGGTGTCGAAACATGTAATGGACCACTCAATGTTATCCCACTAAGTTGTATGTCTCCCCAACAATTATTAATCAGACTCTGAGATGAGAGTACAAATCATACTAGGTTGTGCCTGTAGCCCAATAATGTAGCAACTTATAGCCTTAACTTGTAGGTGATGGAAGTGTTGTCTGTGATCTCTTATGGTGAGTAATGGTTAATTGAAAAATGTCAAGCGTGTTATTTGATAGTAGTTGGTGTCAGTTTCCTCAATATTGTAGAAAAAATTATGAAGGAGTATTAGCTTGCTAGTCGCTTGAGCTCGGGAGATGTGAGCGTTATGAGTTGTTTCATTTACTGTACAAAATGTACATGCAATGGAGTATGCTTGTACTCTTATATATAAAATTTTCTTTGATTATCAGGAAAAAAAGAAGAAGAAGAAGAAGAAGAAGAAAAACTGAATGAGCCGTTGTGGTTCTTCATATAATGTTCTTCATATAATGTCAATGCTAATTGGAGCTTTGCATTTTTTCTCGTCATGAAGTATTATTCCATTTTGAGATTGAAGGGGGTGCAAACATGGTGATATGCTTGGCTGGTCACATTTTAAACCTTTTCTTTTGCTGGATTAAGTCTAAAGGTAATCCAATGCCAAAACAGAAAGAATGAGTTCCCACTAAACCACATTTATTTTATTATTTTTTATCATCCAAATTATAGAAAAATATAAATGGTGTCTATTAACTTCAACAATACCAGTGTTTTTATGCTTACCTATGTAAACCAACACTAATTGTCCAATGTTATAATTAAAACTATTATGATAATACTTGAAGATTCTTGATTTCAGGGTTTTGCAGATTGGCATAGGTATTATTCTATCTCTACAGCCGTTACACCATGAATATATTAAATGATATTTTTGTAGTCAATTCATTGTTAATTGGTGCATATTTCCAACTGCCTTGAGATTATTATATGATTTCAAAATAATTTATTCTCCTATAATCTTTTAATTATTTTTCATAGTTTTCTCCAATATCTTAATCAAGTTCCACAACACTATTTCAACCTTAATCATTTCTTAAATTTAATTGGATATCAAACAATGAAATTTTTAGCTTAAAAATAAAACAAAGACTAGATTTGCATGCTTGCTTTTGGACATGATTTGGATATGATTGTTGAATCATGAAACATTACTGATTAAAAAAAAAAAAAAAAACTGTTTTCTCTAACCCCATACTACCTCTAAAGTTGAAAACCATGATTGGGTAATAATTAAGATTTGAAGGCATAAAACAATATCTAATTAGTGGTATATCACTGTATCATAAGTATCTTGCGGCCTCCTTTAAGGTGATCAGAGCAACCCACTCCAAATCATACTCCCTTAGAATTTAATATTATCCTATAATAATAGGTTTATATACATATTTGAAGGGACATAAATAGTTAAAAATAAAAATTATCTCCTAACCTTTAATTTAATGATAAAAGAAATATATATCTATTATTACAAGAAAGGAGTATTGCACCATCCATCACCCCTTCTTGATCCTCCAAGTACCAATTCAGGTAGGCAATGGAGGCACCCGCTCCACATCATCCTCGGTCCATTCAAAGAACTCAAAATTAGCCATGAATATTCCAAATCATCCTCAAGTGTACAGTAGATAGTGGGCTGACACCTAAATTAATTTAGGTCTGTTGAGTGAGATCACCATGCGAGGGGACTGAATATTAGTACATTTCCTGACACCTTTAATTTAGCCATATATGTATAAAGTACGAACCAATACCATTTGAAAAGAAAAATAGGAGTGTAAACAAGAGTAAAGCCGCTTCAAGACCATTCCAAGTTCCAACAATGCATCTCCCACATATCACAAGATAGGTTGTTTAACCTCAATAATGGAAACAAAAAATCCATAAAAAGATGCATAAATATGTATGGCACGCTATAAAAAGTCATTGTAGAATTCAAGGTTCCATCAAATTGGTAGAGTGCTCTAAGAAAAAACTCTAATTAAACCCAATCAACTAGCTACTTAATGAGATTTCACATGTTGCTGAACAATACTGAGTGCAGTGCTTTCCTCTCCAAAGTCCTGCACACAGAAGATGGCGGAATATTAACCCACTTGAAGAAAGGCCAGAAGAAAGAATAAGGCAAGAAATGCAATGAAATGAATTCTTACCTTCACAACCACACAGGAGCAGCCAACCACCTTCCTTGCTTTACCCTCTGAATCAATCTTACAAAGCTGCAAGTTTTGGACCAAAGCAACACATCTTAGAAAATAACAAAGACAATTAGAAATTTATGAAATTTCTTGATAGTGCAAATATGTAAGGAGATCAAACATGAAATTAATACAAAAGACAGCAGAAAAGGGCAATAGCAATCATGATGCAAACAGATAAAAATAAAGTGAAAAAATGAAATAATTAGCAAAATTTAAATTAATCATATAAATGAATCAAATATCTAAAGGTAGAAGATTAATCAGAAAAAGAAAGGTACTGGAACTATGAATAAGTGAATATGCATCAAATTTAAAAGACAGCACTCAGAAAATACAATTATCATCAAGTAACATGGCCAATAAGGGCACAAAATAACCTTTTTCATTTGTACCCAACTTGGGTTATAGAAGTGACAGTTCTTAGAACATCAGACAAATGATTGGGCAGTGGGTGGTGTGGCAAGGAGAATCTCAGTTAATCATTTTGAAGGCATGCAAGGAGAATAACT